TTTGATACAAACATAGTCAATGAAATTGAAATAGTTTCTCCCAAAGTAGACAAAATGTCAGCTTTTGGACAACCTTAGTGTTTGTCTGGAGCAGTTCATTAATTTTAAAGACTAAGATTACTGAGCTAGTACCACAGTGAGAACAGTGATATAAGAGTCAGGGTGATTGAGGTCTAAGTGTTGCCTTAGACATTTGCTGGCTGTGTGAGCATGGACAGTTCACCTAACCGGTCTCAGCCTTAGTTTTTCCCCCTTAAAACATGGGTAATAATAGTATCTATCTCCCAGGGTTATTGTAAAGATCAAATGAGATAGTCTGCTGCTGTACATTGCAAAGGCCACAGCTGTGTAAAAAGGCTGGCTAATGGAATTAGCTACAAGAGAGTGTATTTCTGCATTCAGTATCTTTGTGCCCCTCACAGAGTCTCCTACATTGAACAATGACATGGCCTGATGCCATCCCTAGACGTTGTCTTTGGGAGATGGAGGAAATCCTTTGACTTCATGAAATGCCACTCTTCCTACTTTGCCCTTGGAACAAAGTAAAATTATCGATATTTGCGTCAATAAAACATCCAACCAGACTTTTCTTTATAACATTAAGTTTAATGCAAGCATTTGTGATTACTTTTCAAATCAGTTTGCTAGCCAAGCCAAGCTTTTGATTTCTGAGTGTCGAAAACCCTCGTTTGTCTTTACAGGATAAGCGGTGACTTTTAGCCTTAGTCTTACATTGGACAATCTCCAGAAGAGGGAGGGGAAGTGAAATAGCCTGTTAGAACATGCTCCCATACATGCGCTCTCCAGTCTCCATTTCACATTGGTTTTGGCTTCACTGAGGGATCTGGACCAGGAAGTATTGCTTTTCAGGATAGAGATAATGTTTTCAAAATAAAAAATAAGAATGCAATTCCTCACCAAAGAGTGGGACCCCAAATCACAGAAGTTCTGAAGGAGCATGTGCTTTTTTTTTTCAGTGTCCCCAAACTGTTTCATGTTTATTAGAAAGTGGCGTGTTGAGCTATCTGTAGAAATATACATTTATATATAAAGTTTTGCATTCAAATCCCTTGATTCTTTGATATACTTATAACTAAAGACCACAAATTAAAACAAATAAAAAATTCTATGTAATAAATCCTTATTTCAGATGCATATATATGTACAATATATTTGTAGAACATCCACCTTTTTAAATATGCTTCTGTTAAAAAATGTTATTTACACATTTTGGACAGAGGAGGCATTTGAGCCTTTGGGATGTGGATAGGAGGGGATGAGCATCATTTTGGGCCAGTGACATAAAGCAACAGAACTCTGAAACAAGGGAATACTATGAAAAACCTCCTCCGAGAAAGTAAGGCGTATTGATGGGACTGAACGTGGAGAGAGAAACGGGAGGGCTTCAATCACTGGGCAAGACTAGACATCACATCATGGGAGTAGTCGTGCTTGGTCAAACACTCTGCAATTTCTAACTTCCTGAGGAACTTCCTCCTTTGTTTCCACCCTGTTTTCTGCCATCTCCCGCCAGCAGCAACTTAATGATCATCAATGATTTGTATCCAAAAATAGTCCCAATCCACAAAAAGTTTTGCTAAATGTGCTGGTGCTTCCAAGCTAGGTGTTGAGATTCAGAGACCCCATACAGAACACAGTAGTCACTGGACTCTCTCTTCACTGAGCCAATATTTGGAAGGTGAGAGGGTGTGGGTAGGGATGTATTATGGGAAGTGATGCTGGGAAAGTGAAATGGGCAAGTCACCATCTAACCCAATGCTGTGGCGACTATCTGGACTCTCTGATGCCCTTCATCTTCCACAACCCCATAAACTCTAAACTTAAAATTCACATTTACATTGTATTTTCTCTTGAAGACTCTGAATAGCAGCACCTTTAAGCATGGAGGGTATCAGGTATGCCTGATAGGAACTCTCTTGTGAGTCTCCCAGTGTATGTATATGTGTGTATATGGTTTTCATCTTCATGGGTTTGAATAATGCTTCAACAGAGTGTCTAAGAATGCATGGATCCCAATCCACCCATGACTACCTGGATTGCTTGGAGAACCTGGTTGTTGAGGGAATGTCCCTGAAGATAACTGGCTGTATTAATCACAGTCTGGTACCACTTCAGAATTGAGCTAACCAATGGGAAAGAAAGAAGGAAAACCAGGAGGCCTAGAAATGACTATTTGAATTAAAGTAAGGGAGAAAGAGCTAGAAAATAAACTATTTCTTTTTTTTCACAAAAAGAAGATTGTTTAAGTTAAAGAAGTAGTTGGGTGGGTGGGATTTTTGTTTTTGGGAACACACAGAAAAGTGGATGGAGGTGGATTATCTACAATTCAATATCAGCAGTGGAGATAAATTCTCTGTTTTTTAATTCTTTGCCAATATATTTTTCATGACAACATTGTGTGGGCAGCAGCTGCACAGGCTCCTGACCCTCCCTTCCACCATTAATCCTCAGCCATTCTATAGGAGGCCCCTCAGTACTGGTGTGCCGATGGCACAGGCTCCTGCACGGGGGGCAAGGTCACCTTCATTTCCAAAACGATTTCCTGAACTGAACATTGAGTTCAAATTATTGAGAAAAAAAATAGGCTCTAATTTGTGTCCTTATATTCCTGTTCTCACTTTTGCTAGCAAAAGGACAATTGATCTCTACATCTCAGCTCAGATAAACATGACACAGACCAGATGCCATTGCACTTTGCTTGGTCTTTTTGTTGATGGCTGAATCCTCTTTCTTGATGTTATCTCTTCAAAAGGAAAAGGAATGAAATCATTCTGGCCCCTTATGTCTTTATCACTATTTTCAATTTCTTCTGTAAAATGGCCTTTTTGTTTTCTTTCTGATAATTCTTGTAAACTCTCTGAAGCTCAAGTACAGCCCCTGCTATGGAGCCCATTCCCACTCTGTGAAAGCCTCCTCCATCACTTCAAAGTGAATCATCCTTAATAACAGTCATCTGGTTACCTGGTGCTGCTAAAAGCACAGATACAATTGAGTTGAATGGAGCAGGGCAAAGAGGAGTAAGGCTAAATCTGGAGATCTTTCCACTGTAATTTTCCTATGAGAGCAACAGCTAGAAATTAGAGTTTTTACATGTCATTTCAAAGCATTTATCCTTAAAATGTTACTGCCAAAAACCTACATGCATAGCCTTTGCTATTACTTTGGAGGGTCTTGACCTTATTCTGCCATTCCTCTTTTGGCCAAGCCTTGATGACATACATAGTAAGTGGGTAGAGGGCAGCTGTACAGATATAGCTTAGCACATGAACCACTCATGGACACTTATGATGAGTGGAAGCAGTTGTTTACAGCTAAGGAAAGGGAGGTCACTTTCAGGGCACATGGCAACCCATCTCAAAGTAATGGTCATTGTAGCACCCAGATATTTGGTCAGCAAGTGGGGGAACTACAGGTTTTGTGTTTGGAAGACTACATATGGGACAATGAAGTGGTTTGTAGATGTGTCTGCTCCATCTTCTTTCAATAAGAGCTACTAAGGTATCATGTATTTTCAGTCAGGATACAGTAGAGAGAATACTTCATCTGTAGCCCTGGCCTTGGATTTAAATCCATGAACTGTAATTTATGGATGACCTTGGGAAAGTTTAAATCTCTCTAGACTTTGATTATTCATCTATGAAATGAGGACGTTAGACTTAATGATTTCTGAGGTCTTATCCAGTTCTTAATCTATAAACCCAGATGAGTGTCCTCTCTCTCTCTCTTTCTCTCTCTGTCTCTATCTTATTCCCTTTATCTCTCTCTGTCTTTGTGTGTCTTTCTGTCTCTTGATGTTTTGTCTTTCTGTCAAGTATTTCTGTCTCTGTATCTCTCTCTATCTCTCTGTCTTTCTGTTTCTCTGTTTTTCTGTCTCTGTCTGTCTCTGCCTCTCTGTATCTCTGTCTCCCTGACTATCTCTCTCTATCTCTCTGTCTCTCTCTCTTTCTCTGTTTCTCTCTCTCTTTTTTCCCCCCCTCAGACATGAGTCAACATTGATTTCAATAAGGACACTACATTTTGTTACAGATAATTAGATAATCTATTTCTTCTCTAGCAACTTCCTTTCTTCCCTTTGCTATCATTCAACCACACTCTAAGATACTGTCCTATGTTTAGACCTGATGATGTATTTTTCCAGCCCCATGATGAGCTCCTCAACTTAGCCCTGAGAACACAGTCTAGACTGTGTGGGTATTCTCAGACTATCTCTGGCAATGAGGGTAGTCAAGAGAATTGGTTAATCTATAAGGGGTTCAAGAGATAGATATATTGCCAGACAGACGATGGTATAAGAAGATAAAGAGAAAATAGAATGTTTTTAGGGCCCCAAGTCAGCTGTCAAATGCAATACCATTCTTCCTGATGATTCAGTTGCCATTGGGTAATGTCTTGTGTGTGTCAATTTCAGGCAATGGGGAAAGGAATGAAGCCGAGTTTGCCCTTAACAATGTTCCAGGACTTGTATATATTCTCCAAAACTCCACTTCCCCATTTAATCCTGGACAAACACTCTGATATGGGAGACTCATTATCTCCCCACTCAAGAGTTTCCACAAGATAGGAGATGAATAAAATGGTTAACTAAAATACTGAAATTTCCAGAGGAGGATTTTCAGCATGACCAGAAATATCTCCAAGATACCTTTAATCTAACAACAGTGGCTTTACTAAATGACATTTGTAAAGACCCTTTAACAAAGCCTTTGAAAATTGGAATGAAATTTCAATCAATAGGATCTGAAACTTTTTTTTCCTGATGTGTTGGTGTTAACTAAGACCATTAAAAATCCTTAAGGTTGTCCTTCCACCTGCAACCTTCTTCCATGATACTGCCAATGATAAATAATCCAACATTCTCTGGTGCTGCAAAGTCCCATACAGAATGGCCTGAATGATGGGGGAAGGGGATAGGAAAAAGGGGATTGAAAAGGGAGCTTTCTGCAGGCATTTGGGAAGCTTTAACAGAAAACACAAACCCGCACATTTTCAGGCTTCTTAAAAAAAGATAGGGAATTACAGAGACAGCCACAAAGAGTACAACAAAAACACAAAAGCAGCCCTTCCCCCACTTTAGGGCTTGTTGTAGCAATTCAAGCAGTCTGGGGTAGTGGTGGTGGTGGAGAACCTCAGGGGTGAGGTTCTTTTCTTCCAAGTCCTAGCTTTTAATGGTAGCATCTTTATGAAAATTATGCAGGGTGCTACCTTTCCCCTCTCCCATAATAGAGTGAAGGGTTTGCTTAAAAATGATAGTGGAGACTAGATTTATTTACCATTTTTCTTCACATTGTGTGTGTGTGTGTGTGTGTGTGCACTTGTATGTGTATACAACATTGCAACCGGCAAGATTGAGGTTGAATTTGATCATCTTCCCCAAACATAGATTTTGCATACCAAATCTTAGCCCAAAGGTCCTGCCTGGTCGGGGTATTGTTGTCTCCATGGGTACTGGGAAGGGATGGGTTGCCAGGGAGGGGGGAGGGAGAAAGGGAAGAAATGTGCACAGAAGGGAAGCGTTCTCAGCTATGTGGAATCCTGATTCACCACTTTCCCTCCATTCATCGTTGGTGTCCCGGAACTTTTCCTGGAACGTCCTTGCTTTTCTCCAATTTCATGCAGTGATGGCTCTCTGTACATGCACACTGGAAAAAGAAATTTCCACAATTAGTTTTCATGGCTTTAAGGAGAGTAGGCTCTTTGCCCACAATTAGTAGTGTAGCTTGGGTTTTGAAACTCCCTATATCCCAACCATTTCTGATTCTTGATTCGAGAGACCTTTCCCCTTCTTGTTTTCAGCCACAGCCTTTCAAGATGACTTGGGCTACAACTATAGAGAAGTTTCTGATTTTTTCCAAGATAAGGCTTGAGCTTTTTACAAACTATACATTACATACATACACATATGAGCACATACATATTTATGCACACATACATATTTACGTACACACACAAGTTCACACAAAGCTAGAGCTATTGGAGAAAGTTATAGCATAACATTTAGAGGATATTAAGTTATCTCACTCCCCAGGCTTTAATCTGAATCTCATGTGGGCAGAGAAAGCACCTTTTTGTTTACACCATGCTAATCTTTGATTAGCAAAGGGAAATAGGACCTTGGTGTGATCATTGGAAATATTTATTGTCAAAGCTTACTGCACCAGAATGATAAAGAGGCTAGCAAAGAAAACAAACAAAAAATAAGGGGAAGAAGAAGCAGCCATGCTTCTCACTCCCTCCTGTGTCCTTTATCTAAAGCTCACTGATTTCTGGCCTCATGGAAGCTGTTCCTCAAGCCAGGACCCCATCCTTCATGCCAGCCTCTGGTTCAATCTGAGCAGCTGCCACTGCAGTCCAATACACCCCCACTGCCCTGCTGTTCTCTCCGGCTATTAAGCCAGCTGGTGATACCCAAGCATGCTTGAAGCTACCTTGTTACTAAGAATTATACCATTGCCCACTTGTGCTGCTCTCTGCAAAGCAGGATCTCCAAGCATTCTGCAAGCATTGGGCTTATCTCCCAACACCCTGTGAGGCATGGTGTATGGGCACCAGCAGTTTATATAGGGCTTAGCTCAAGTACTCAGGTGGCTTTCAATTCCTTGTCCAGATCAAAAACAAGAGCCATAGGCTGATTGCTCTGATGATCTGCACAGAAGTAATCACCATCACCTCTCTAGTGGCATGAGCTCAGGGTCAATCTTTTCACTTGGTTCCTGTTTCTAATATTGCATATCTGAATATTTCTATAATATACATATTTTGGCATGAATTTTCTGGGTGACAGAACAGATGAAAACATGATAATAGCCACCTCGGGCTAAATCTTGAACCCTATTTCCCAAAGGTTTGGGTTTAAAAATATGTCTGTCTTGGACCACAAAATAAAAGGGCATATATGTTTTACTTTGATAATATGTATGTATACCTCACAGTCCAGGAATGGATGGGCATTCATTCAGCCAGAAAGTTCCACTTAAACAAAATGGGGATAAGAAGGCATAGGAAAGGTGGGAGGGGGAAAAAGGAGTAGTTATGGAGTAGCACCAATGGAAAGATTTAACACAATTTTTAAAAACGAAAATTATTAATTCTTTATTATACTTATATATCATGTTATACTGACCAGATTTTTCCCTGATACAGTAAGTATTCTTTGCCCAAGTGGTCCATCAGAAAGAACACAGGTGCTTCAATCTTGGTTATGATATTTTAGGAGAGACTACATTCCTATTTGTGTTTCTGTTTTTTGGAAATAATTGATTTCTGCCAAGCAGTTGGTCCGATTCCATCTGACTTGCTGAGCATCCTCATTCCAGATAGCTTTCCTGCCCGCCCCAGTACTCTTCTCCACAGATGGGTCTCAGCGTTATTTGCAATGATCTAGTTTTCCCTAAATCTCATTTGTTTATAATTGGTTGATTGTTATTAAGCTACTGAGTGAGAATGTGTAGGCAGCTCATGCAAATGGTAATTCATTCGTTAAAGAAGAAATGATCAAGTGCCTAATATATGCCACACAAAGTGAAAGCATTGGGGCCATCAAGACAGAAATGAAAGCCTTTGTCATTAGAGAGGTCACACAGCATAAAGAAGGAGGCAACATGAATAGAACTAAGTACAAAATAGAGACAAAGGGAAGCCAAAGTCATTTCTGGCACTGGGATTTCAGGTGACTGGGGAAATCACGATTGGTCTTGTTCTGTGAATTGAAAATAAAATAAATTTTAATAAAGAAATACTGGAAAAAATGAGTGACAATGATGAGCAACTTCTTAGTTCATCTAGCTTTTCTTCAGATCCAAAGGCAAAAATGAGGGACTTCTTGCCATCAAGGAGCTGACATCCCATTAGATCAAATAGCTTGTAGAAATGTATGTATGTATGTATGTACGTGTGTGTGTGTGTGTGTGTGTGTGTGTGTGTGTGTATAAAACATCTATTCTCAAGGTAAGTTAGAGACAGAAGCCACTGACAGCTGGAAGATTACCAAAGATTTCATGGAGAATGTCATATTTGAGATGACGGTTGAATGAAACAAGGGATTCTAAAATGGCAAATGTGAGTACTGACTAAGGGCTTTCTTGGTCTGAGGAACAACTTTAGACTATGATGAGAGATCCAATGTCTTGTATGAAGAAGAATGATAAGGCTAGGTGGTCTCTGTTCTAGAGGAATGAAGGGGTATGCTGCTTAATAAGGCTAGAAAGGTAAGTTAGAGCCAGCTGGTGAATTAGGATTCTAGCTAGTGATACAATAGAAAGGCATCTGCCAGAAAATGGAAGGCTTCGAATGCCAAACAGAGGAGTTTGCATTTGATCCTAGAAGGAATAGGGAGACACTAGGGTTTACCAAAGAGGAAAATGACAAAATCAGAAGTGTTATTGTTGCGTTTGCGGTGATGTTGTTGTTGTTTAATTATTCTGGCAACCATTTGGTGGATGGATTGAAGACAGAATAAAGACAAGAAAACCAATTAAAACTCTATAGTATAGGTGAGAGATGAGTAGATGTCCATGTGAGTAGAGAGAAGGGGATCAACGTATTGCTGAGGTGGAAATAACAAAATTGGTAACAGGTTAGGTACATGAGATGAGGAAGAAAGAACACTGAGAATGACGATGATGCTATAAAACCAAGTGACTTGAAGGATACTGGGACCTTGAGAGAAAGTAGGATGTTTATAAATAGGGCAGGATTTGAGGAAAACAAAATCAGACCTGCCTAAAATGGGGAGAATCGGAGATGACTATGGGACTTTCGATTCAAAATGTCCAGAACGTATGTGTGGTCAGAGGGCAGTTTGTGGAACTCTGAGCATGAACTTGAATAGAGGCAAATGAAAGAGGTAAGGCAACCTTGCCTTCCCAGGAACATGCTCAGGAGGGAGTCATGTAGGTTGTCAGGCAAGCAGTATCAAAGGCTGATATTGGGATTTGGGATTTTTCTATGCAGAGACTGTCCTCATTTACTTGGTACAATTCAGTTGTATAAAGTTATTGAGCTTTTGCCTCTTCTTGCTGGGCAACATAAGAAATGACTTCTGTTACAGGGAAGTGGGAGGTGATCTCAGCATACCTGTCAGCTTCCTTTGGATGTCATCTGCCCCCCTGGTCAAGCTCAGGAGTCCCCAGCATGTTTGTGGAGGCACAAGGAATGAGCACAGGACAGCCTCACTCCCAGACTAAACACACCCTTGCATCACTTCCTCTTGGGTGCCAAAGGAGAAAGTCATTTTCCAGCAAAAGGCAGGAAAGAAGGCTACATGTCAGAAATTTGTAAATAACTGAAAAACGTCACTGTATAGACAGACCAGGTCGAAACCAGAACCCAACTGACTCTCTGGAACAGTGTAGTAAGTGAATAGAGTAATAGGTTTGGAGTCAAAGAACCTGTATTCCAATCCCAGTCTGGTTGCTTATGACCACAAGCTACTGAAGCTTTCTAAGCCTCAGTTCCCCCATCTGTAAAATGAAAAGGTTCTCAAAGAAGAGACATGAGAAGAAAAGTCTTCGTGTTTCTTTGCAGAGCAGGGAGTCCACACTCTTGAAACTATATATAAAATATTTTTAAAGTATTGTTTTTGTGACATTTTTCTCTCAAAAAATATTTGTTGCTAGGGATAGATCCCTAGAATTGGGGAGGTGTGAAGCAGGGGAAAATAGAGGTAGAAGAAAGAATCTATCCAGAAAGTTCTGTTTTTGTTGTTGTTTTATTGAATATGGGCTAGATGAGCTCAGAGCTCCTCTCTACCTCTAAACCTATGACAAGATCACATAGGAGGTAGTTAATAAGTACTTGGTGAATTAAAAACAAAAAAGGAAAGAGCTGAATGAGTCAATCCAACCAAGTTGGCTGCTCCCAGGGAAACTAAGGTAATTAGCCCAAAGGTTAGAATTCCTCTGCTATTCGATGATGCACAAGCCACCGACCATCTTGACTGCTGTTGAAATGAGGCCATGGAGACACAGAAGGGCATTTTTTTCCACATGAAGAAAATGTAAAAAAAAAGGCTTTGAATCATTCTATTAACTCTGTCACCAACATCAGATTAAAACTGACTTTTCCCCCTAGAGTCAGCATTTATTTTTACTCAAAATAAATTATCTTGAGGCTGTCCCCACTGTCCTAACTGTATGCCTTCCTCTAATCCACTTCTTAGAAACCCATTTTTCTTTCAGAACGCAGGATGGGCACGGCTTCCTACAAGAATCCTTTCCTGATGCCATAGTTGGTAGTGCTTTGTTCCTGCCTGAGTGATCACATATAAGCACTTGTGGTAATGCGTGCCACACGTTCCCCGGGGAATGGAAATTCCTTCAAGCCAGAGGCGACTTTCAATGTGTCTTTGTGTAGGCAGTACTGTAAAAAGCAAAGGTACTTAAAGATGCTTATTGTCAAAAATCACATCAATCTAAATAAAACAAAACCAGCCCTACTATGAAGTCATACTTCTAGTCACTAAAAATAATGATAATAATGATCCCAGAGGAAAAGAAAGACCTTCCTCTAAATGGAAGAGTGGTGGGTATTTCTCGGGCAGAATGTTGCCACTGGGTTGGTTCATATTTGGGCATTGTACCAGTTGTAGGCACATTAGAAAAAGCAGGGTTAATGAAATGATGACTACATTAAGATTGGCCCT